TATAACGTCGTCAATGAAGCAGGACGACAGTTCCGCCGCAACAGGCGCCACCTGAGGAAAACAATTCACAAGCCCACAGAAACATTTGATCCAGCGGATGAGACCCATGACAACATACACTCTCACATACCAGAGGCACGTGAAGTGACAGATCAGTCTGTACAGTGTGTGCCACAGCAATCTGTACATAATGGCAGCACCACAACCACCAGGAGTGGTCGGGTTGTGAATGTTCCTGTGAGGTTTCAGGACTACTGTATGAACTGACTATATATTTGCCTAGTAATTAAGGTTAAGCATGCTTAAGATTTAAACTGCTTATGGGACAAGATGTTTGCTATAAATAAGAAAGAAAATGTTCCTGTTACGAGGACTTTAAGATCTATATTCAGTGTTCATATATCCTGTTTATAGCTTGTATTGTTTTCTGTGAAAAAAGGGGGATGTGGTGTAGTGTTATATGCATTTATGATGTAATTGCATATTGACTCCACTAGAGGGCCACCTAGGGGTTGACTGTGGGGGGTTACTGGGTCAGACGAGTGAGACTGTACCATGCATGAGCGGGTTAGCAGCAGGAGCTGCTGGTGTTCTGTAATAAACATGTGGTTCTGAGTTATAACTGTCCGTGCACGTAGTCTATCGGATACACTGCACTAGAAGAAACACAACACTTGCGATATGCATATTGCGATATATACATTTGCGATATTCCGATCATTTCGATATATTGTGCAGCCGTAATAGTTATCTTTTATAGTTATCGTTCCTTGGTGTGAGCAGTCCTCAAGTAAATTGACTGATGTGGTGCTCAACTCTTAAGAGATTGTTCACAAAATGAAAATTGTCAGTTGAAATAGTCTACTGAAATGTACTCAGTCTCAGGTTGTTGGAAACCTGTATGAATTTCTTTCTTCTATTAAACAAAGTCAAAGAGCCAAGCTAGCAAAACTTTTGTCCAACCGTCATGTAACACCTATATATATATATATATATATATATATATATATGCATATATGCATGCATGCAGCACAACTGTTTCCAACATTGATAATAAAACGCCATATTAGAATGATTTCTGAAGGATCATGTGACACTGAAGACTAGTAATAGCTGATGAAAATTCAGCCACCACAGGAATTTAAATTATATTTTAAAATGTGTTAAAATAGAAAACAGTTATTTTAAATTGTAATATTACACATTGCTTTTTTTTTTTTTACCGTATTTGTGATCAAATAAATGCAGCCTTAATGAGTATAAGCAACTAATTAATCTTAAAGTATTCAGTGGTTATTCATTCTGAAAATGTATGTGCAATAATTAGCAATAGGACACCTGAGCTAGATGAGCTCCACACGAAGATCAAGAGGTCTTGTGGTAATTCAGACATTACTCTTTGATCAGATCACAGGCACCACATCTTCATGCATGTTGCTGACGTGATGAATTTTAATGCAACTCTGTTTTGAGATGAGTTCTGCTGTGAAAACCATTTGCTGATTGAATATTCACTGATTGGCCTTCCATCTCCCTGCCCAATTCTCTAATCTTATTAGAAATCCATAGGGTTCCCACGGTCAGGGGAAAAAATAAAATAATATATAAAATCCTAAATCTGTAAAGTCTTTTCCATGAAGACAAAATTTACAGTCTTTATAGAAATCGGCCTATAATAATTCATTATTTCAGAAGGATGTGTTTTAAATGTGTAATCAATAATGGACTAAACTTCTCATTGACCCCTGTCACTAAAGAGGCTTTAGGGTTGCTGTGTCTTAGCGCCCAGACATGTACTCTGAGGCAGTAGGGACAATGAATTTCATTCCAGAATGCAGCTGCTCTCTTTATGTGTGCTATTAATGCCCACTGTATGTGTCGAATCTAGAATATCCGCTGCCTTGTGGCCAACAACTGTTGCAGTCACGTTTCTATGCTTGAGTGATGCATAGTTCCCTAGTTAACACTCAATTACAGTGAATTTTGTTTCTATGGATATAGAAAAAGTTAAATATGAGGTAATCTCTTTCACTCTCTCTGTCACTCGCTGACTCGATCTTTCGTTTATTTTTCAGTTTGATGAGGGTCGCAGTACATTCGATGGAGAGATCAGCAAAGAAAAGCTACTGACCTTCATCAAATCCAACCAACTTCCCTTGGTCATTGAGTTTACAGAGCAGGTACACTTTATCCACAAATGTGTGTTTGACCTGTTGCATACAGACCCAGTTGGCCTATTTATATTTTCATTGAAAAATTGATTGCATTTTTGCCATATTGTGGAGGGAACAATAGATTCTGAGATTCTTATTTCTCGTCTACAGACTGCTCCAAAAATCTTTGGAGGTGACATAAAGTCCCACATCCTAATGTTTGTGCCCAAAACAGCCAAAGACTTCCAGGATAAGATGGACCAATTTAAGAAGGCAGCTGAGGGCTTCAAAGGCAAAGTGGGTATTTTTTATTTATTTATTTTTCTATTAAACTGTGTCCGTGTATGTTTTGCTGAATACATTGGAGTTTAACCTAATACTCTTTCTCCACAGATTCTCTTCATCTTTATTGACAGTGCTGTGGATGATAATCAGCGAATTCTGGAGTTCTTTGGTCTTAAGAAGGAAGAGTGCCCAGCAATCCGCCTCATTACCCTAGAGGAAGAGATGACCAAATACAAACCAGAATCCTCAGAAATCACAGCAGAGAACATCATCACCTTCTGCACAGCATTCACAGAGGGAAAACTTAAGGTGACTGAGAAGTTTGTTTGGGTTAAGGTTCAAATAATGTCTGATGTAAATGAGGAAATGAGTTTTTATGGTAGATGTAGTAGTTACTTAAAGGGGTCATATGATGCTTTTTTAAAGATCATTATTTTGTGTATTTGGTGTAACAGAATATGTTGACATGCTTTAATGTTCAAAAAACACATTATTTTTAAAATACTGTACATTATTGTAGGTCCTCTATGCCCCGCCTCTCTCAAACGCTTCGTTTTCTACAAAGCCCCCTCC